GTGCTGGAGTGACAGGTTTGGTGTGGGGATCACTTCAAGTAGCAGAACACACTGTGGTCCTGTGAGCGAGACCAGAGAGCGGCAGCAGCAGCAGCAGCAGGAGCAGTGATTTACCTGCTGGACTTTGGTTGAGGCTGCAGCATTCACCCAGCTGAGATGGGGACAGAGAGGCGTGACAGAGCTGGGGACAGAGCTGCCTGAGGTGGGTGAACGTAGGAGGCAGTGGCAGTGGAGGGGCAAAGGCAGCTGCTCACTGCTGAGACCAGGGGTGTGGTGGAAGGGCCTGCGGGATGATGAGGAGCTCTTCGTGCCCCATGGGACCTCTGTTAATTGAGTGCACTGCATGGGACGAGTTTGACTGAAACCCTTTATTGGCAAAAGCGTTTTGTCAGAAGAGGGATCCTTCTGGATCCTGTCTGGGCACAGGAGGACCCGCAGCAACACCAGCATAGGCGAGTTCCTTATTCTCATCTCCTTGTGCCCCACCAATTGAGGGGCTGGTTGAGAAGAGGCTGGGCCAGGAGAGCATCTACTGGGCTGATCCCTCCTCTCAGCTTTCCATGGCTGTGTCCCTCAGAAGAGCAGGACACTGCGAATACTGAAAAGTGGAAGGGAAGGGAGGGTTTACCAGTGCTGCAATTCAGGAGCAGGCAGCGGGGTTGGCAGGTGTGCCTGGGGACCGGCTGCCTTCTTTCCCTCCAGCCTCTTCCTCACTCAGCTGCATGAGACGTGCAGCAGTGAGGGAGCCTTCAAATCTCTGCTGAAGGGAACCCCTCAGGTGATAAAGCCACAGGATCTCGGTTGTGCTGATCCATGAGCTGCAGGGTTCCCTGTGCTGAACGTGGGCTCTTCCCTCTGGGTTATGGCAGATTGTCCCTATGCTCAGCTCTGGGCCCTGCTTCCTCCAAAGGCTCAGGTGCTTTTTGAGAAGACAGTGTTGTGTGCTCTGCCTGCCAGAGCATTTGGGCTGTTTGACTGTTAGGAGGAGGTGGTGTTTGCTGTGCCTCGCTCCTGCGAGTCAGGGTCTCACCTTTTTCCTGCCCGTAACAACTCAAATCCCTCGTTCACTTTAGCGAAGGGCAGCGTGTGCGTGATCAGCAAGTCTGAATTGAATTTCTTCTCCAAATAACTGGAAACTAATTTGGGGATACAATCCCTCATCTTCCAGCCTAGAAACAAGAACAAGTAGCTGCAGTGAATGATGGGAGAAATGCAGTTTTGTGAAGGGAATGTTACTGTGAGGGTCAGGACTGAGAGACCAGTACCGGTGCCACTCTCTTGTGTGGTAATTTCCCCTCTTTGGAATGGGTAAGATAGCATAGACAGTTGTATGTGTTATACTGTATGAACTATACAGGTTTTTTAGCATTTTTATTAGCATTTTTAATGCTAGTGTTTAATGCACTGCTCCTCTTTAGTTCACTTTTTCTTGAAAATCCTCTTTTAGTAGGATTTGTAAGCTGCCGTGAAAGGAAAAGCTGAAATTTCTAAAATATTTTCTTAACTTTCATACCTCCAACCAGGGTCCCCTTCCATGCACGCCCAGTCAGCAGAAGCATAGGATCGAGGGAAATCTCTGAACCAGCATCCAATTCCCCAATCATCACACAGATGCCAGTGCTCATATTGCAGGAAGCCAGGGCAGCAATCTGATGGGACAGAGAGGTGAGTTAGAGAAAGCAGTGGTGAGCTGGTCAGGAAAGTGTTCTTTCTGAGTGGTCATCTGCCCCTCCCTGCTAATCTGAAAACACATCCTCCCATGTGCAGGAGACATGGATAGTTTGTGGCCACTTTTAAGAGCCATACATTGTTTTCTCCCCAAGCCAACAGACTGCCTTTCTCTCACAAAGGTGTGCCCAGCAGTGCAGGCAGCAGGCAAGGAATTTCCCACCTGCGTGAATTTTTCCCTGGAAAATTTCCCAGGAGCCTGTGACTGATCTGGGAGGGAAGATGTGCCAAAATGCCACCTACCATGGTTTCTTTGAGGCCAATGGCCTCAAAGGAGTAGTCCACACCCTGTCCTGTCATCTCAGTGATCACCTCCTGGATGGGCTTCTTGCAGTCTCGAGGGCTGATGCAGTCGGTGGCTCCCAGCTCCTTGGCCTTGGCAAACTTGTCCTTGTTGATATCCACGGCAATGATGCGGGAAGCTCCAGCTGCCTTGCAGCCCATGACAACAGAGAGGCCAACTCCTCC